TTGTTTTAGACTTCAGTGAGCAAACTTTGTTCCTATGTAACTAGCCACCGCAGTTTTGGCAGTGTCCACTGCACGCACTGATGGGCGTGCGCTGCACAATAGGCTCTGTAGGACCTCGGACGCTGTTCCCTGTGCACCGTTTTTATTTATTAAGCTCTGGTAAATATACAGGGTGGCCTAAAATGGCAGGACACGTAGGGTTATCGTATTTATTTAACACCTGCACGAAAACATTTTCATTGCGTATTTTTTTTTACTAACGTCTATTTTTCTTATTCCTGCGGGCAATAGAGATATACACCACTCCAGGCGTTACATATGGCTTTTAACATTTAATGTTACTGCGTAGACTCTGGAAACCATATTCAAATAGTGACAATACTTATTATTTAGCAGCACTACTCTAGTAAATATCACAAGGTGTTTAACATTAATATAACCACGGTGAGATTGACAGGATATCACTCTACATAATTGAAGATTCCAGGAGCTGCATTTAAACTGTTGTCTGATATGCTGGCTCAAGTGTGAGTGTATTGTGGGTTGAGCCCGTATTATAAGGATTACTTTTGAAAGGAATCATTCTGATAATGCCTCACTCTTAAATGTAACGTGTAAAGTAACATCATACTTTACTTGGTTTCTGAGTACTGCAATGTAATCTGATTATTTGAATACAGTTACAACTGCACGGTCGCTTCTTGTTCTTTCAAATTAACACGTATTTAGTGGCATGCACTATTGTAGATAATGGAAAATGTTCTGTCAATGGAGACTTTGCACAGCGATCAGCATCCAATGGTTTCCCACCTCACATTAACCCTATAATTTCTCCATTGTAACCTAATTTGAAAAACTAAATTAATCATATGAAAACAAATCAACCGGTTTACGCGAAACAAACAGCAATTTGTCCTCACGTAAGTAAAAAGAAAACAACCAATATGACAACTATACGGGATGGACTGTCAACGCCTGCCTTGAGTAATCTAATTACAGTAACCTAATGTTCGGGGTGGGTGAGGGGGGGAGAGAGTAATACGCTACATTTAATACCTTACTCTCCAACACTGCCCTAGGTTTTAGCTAGCTAGCCAGTACCATTGTTTCAATGTTTTTCGCTCGGACATTTCAGCGATTCCAAAAGCCACACTGAAACTGGTCGGGATGCGATTGTTTTATTGCGTGGTTCCAGCGCAGCTGCGTTGAGTCACGCGCGGCACGCGCACAGCTGTGCCCCATAACGTGTCGCGTTTGTTTCCTCCGACTGCCCGGGTCACAGGTCACGGGCAGTAAAGCGCTGGGTAACAGCCGAATTACGGTCAAGTCAATCGTAATGCGATTTCATTTAATCGACCAAGTATTACAGAGTCTCGATATTCTTCTTGTTCTTCGTCTTCTCAGGAGGGTCTGTCAATTGGGATTCGTAGGCCAATTTCTTGATACATTTATTGATTTTATGTAGATGGTAGTAAAATAAGTAGGTTAATAACGTACCTGCGTTTGAGTGTTATAATCTCACAATCATTGCTGTTTTTATCAGGCATTCTAATTTCCTCCTACATCTAAAAATACTCAGGAATGGAATTGGCAAAAAATGACACATTTATTGGGTTAGCAAAGGAATTACAGCTATAATAACTTACAGAAATGTATCAACCCACTGCCGGCTGAAGGTCTCCCTACATCATAGCAGCCATCGTAATTGTTTGACCATACTTCATCACACTGAAGAATTAGTTAAGGGCAATCACGTGTCTGTCATCGGAGAGCTTGCCTCATGAGTGAATGTTCAATTACAAATATTCGTCGCCTGCCATGCGAATGTGGAATTTCCACCACATGCTCAAGGCCATCAATGGAGAGCAGTGCTGTCCCATTTGTCCTCTAAGCAGGGAGAAACTCTGAAATCGACTCGAGCAGGTTCGCTCACAGCAAAGTCTTTTATGGCCAGCAGTGATTTAAAGTTTGTTGTTATTTTCTAAATTCCTAGTGCCATCTGTGACAAACAGTTTAAAAGAGTACACTATCATACACACTCCTCAATTATGTCTGTTGACCACAGAAGCAGCTCTCGGGAATTTCAGACACCCACAGCAGTTTATGGCACAAGATTAGACCACAGCGTAGCCATCCGTGGAATCCTTTATGTGTAAGTTGCCCATGTGTTCCGTAGGGGCTTCATGATTCACTCATCGGCATGTCGAACAGTTATCACTATTGGGTACTTTAATTTGGCTTAAGTCCTTTTTGTTTTTTTTAGTTTGCTCCATTGGCCAAAATGTTACTTCAGTATATCATTTTCAGAACATTTGCATGGGTATTAAATACATGATTCTTGCACACATAAATGGAAACGTGAAGTGTGAGCCTTAAGAAAGGATATTCAATGATGAATCAATGCATTATTGCACCCCTAGTGTTTAATATGTGGTAATTTAAATATTGGCAAGAGTGTAGCATGAGCATTGTGCTGATGAGATTTCGCTTATCTTTCATATTGTTTCTTGAGAAATGTTCCAGACTGAACTAAATGCTTTACATTAAACTCTGCTTTTCCCTATCGCATGTTTTGAGAAATTCCCAAGGCTACACAAGCCACTGAAATATGCTATGGCCGACTTATCAATGACCCCAAGCCTATCTCCGTGTTTCCACTATAGCCTTACAAGAACACAACGCAAACTGGCGCGAAGCTGCTAAAAGTACTGCACGTGGAACACACATTGCTAGATAATAAGTAGCTGAGTGGCTTAGGGGACTTATAATGCCGTGTTAGGACACTGAGCTGACAACACCGAGATCCTGGATTTGAGTCTGTAGTTTAGATTACAACATTGCTCCAAGTGAACAAACTGATAGCCTCAACCCAGTCACCAAAGACTGCACAGAAAGAACCCCATCACAGTAAGTGAGGCTTTTGACTTAATTTGCCATATTTCAGCTGTTGGGACTAATATATCATTCACTGTGATGAACTCTCTTTGCCTGGACACGTAGAAGCATTATATAGGAGTAGTTCTGTGGTATCAGCTTCCAGTGTTTTTCCTTGCTTATGATGAGAACCTCTTCTCCCTGTGCGTGTTGTAGAGGGACGCTGTATGAGTAGTTGACCGTAGTCATCTTATGGGCAGTGACATTGCCTAGTGGTAGCACTTTCAAGTAGTTGAGCGGAGACAAAATATAAGAATAATCTGTTGATTGACTTCAAATGGGATGCCTTGGGGGAAAACGGGGTCTTTGTTGTCGTCTTTGAAGTTGGTCAAATCCGTGCATACAAAACATACACAATCTTACTTGCTCAAAAGTCTGAGATCAACCAACTAATTCCATTGTCATATAAACATCCAACATTCTTATTCCACTATGGGCATGTTTTCCGGAAGTCGTTGGCCACTTATGGAGAAAAAACGTTCACCTTTCATTATAAATCCTCATATATGAGAATGTTTCACTAAAATGTATTTAATTTAATATAACATGGTACAAAAAGGACAAACATCGGTTTCTCATGGCTTGCAATAATTCCTGCAAGTGAGTTTTACCTAACATGTGATCACGTGGATTTATCGGGCTGGATTACAAACTTTTCTATATTACATTTTCTATGGATTCACTGCACGATGCATGTGTATATCAAAATGAACACACATGTTATTAAAAAAAATCCAGTGAAATGAGACCAAAGACACTTCATGATAAAAGTGGCATCAGGTGGTATGCCAGATAACATTTTGTGCTCTTAATAAGAAACATCTCCAGAAGCTAGAAATATCTGCTGACTTGGAGAACATAATGTATGAAATAGCACATGAATCTGATAGGGGCAGATAAACAAGTACCACTTTTTGGGAACTCAACTAGGGCTTATCCTGCAATAGGACTGCGGAATTTGATCCACTGGCTTGGGTCCAGCATCGCACATAACCGCCACACAACGCTTGTTCGACGATGACAGGGGTCGGCACCCTGCGGCTCCGGAGCCGCATGTGGCTCATTGAGGACTACTTTGTGACGTTACTTATTAAGGACTGCCTCACATTCACATCGCATTGCGGCCCTGGCAATATTGTTTTTTTGTTACTGAATAAAAAAATAATGGCTCTTCTTGTTGTTTAGGTTGCTGACCCCTGGACTAGGAACACACTTTGACTCGATTCTGATTATTTAACACAGCTTGGACTAATACTTTCCTCAACAGATTCTAATGTGACACAAATGGATGCGTTACTGTAGAGTGTTGCTGAATAATTGGCATCTAGAACACATTGCTGTAGAGCTGACTAAAGTTTAGCGATATCTTCATAGGTGTGTGTTATAACCCCAATAATGTCGCATTATAAGAATGTGTGACTCCTCCCTCCGACCACATTGCTCGTTCCACACCATCAGCCAAGGAATGCTGCACAGCAAGCAAGTCGGCGTTGCTTGATATAAAATGTTGAGGGATCAGGTGCCTTAAGAGCCTTGCAATGCAATGTGTGTGTCAGAGATACCGAGCCAGCAGTGCTGAGATTCAGGGCACACATCTGAGATCCAGTTACCATTGATTATACCAATTTTAATTAAGTGTTGGCAACATCTCATGAAGTGATTTTTGGTTTTCCTGAGAAACCTCTATCATATTGCATTTGGATCTAAATGCATTTTGTTGAACTCAGCTCTGAAGGATGAACTGTAATCGTTTTGGGGGGCGATAACAAACTTGATATGAACCATCATCGAGAAAGTATGCAGCAGCATCGCATGGTGTTTAGCCTGCAATTAGTCCTAAAATCTCTCAGAGCAAGTTGCCATCATTGAACACCTATCAAGGCTGTAACAGTACACAACGAACTATTGCTCGCAGCCCATTGCCCCAGCTGCTGATTTAAGGCAAGCACCATTTGCCCACTGGCATTGCATGCGAATGCCACCGCCGCTCGTGTTGACGCAGTTGCACCACGATGCGTTAACCCAATGTGCCGCCGCTCCCCGTACAAACACACGCACGCACGCAGATGGCGACTCTCCGTTGGAGCTGCAATTCCACCTGGCGAGCGAGATGGGCCGCCGCCTCCACGTGACCAACGCCGTGCTGTGGCTGCACCTGCGGCTGTCCGAGCCGAGGCGCCGAGTATCGGTGACACTCGGCCTCATGCATCGCGGCGCCCTTATGGACAGCTGGGTGCCGCTGGAGAAGCGTTTGACGCTGCACCGCAGCAGCTGGCACCGTCTGCCGGTGACGGAAGCCGTGCAGGCGGCGCTGGACGGGGGCCTGCGGCGAGTTTCCCTGCGAGTGTCGTGCCCCGAGTGCGTGCCAGCGGGCGTCGTTCCCGCGCTCCCGGACAGCTGCCAACGACGCACAGAGGCCCTTCCTGGTGATGAAGGCTCGGGAGGTGCGCAACAAGCGCCAGCTGCACAAGCGTGGCCTCGAGTGTGACGGCAGGACGTCGCTCTGCTGCCGCAAGCAGTTCTACATCGACTTCCGCAGCATCGGTTGGAACGACTGGATTATCGCGCCGCCCGGCTACTACGGGAACTTCTGCGAAGGGCAGTGCCCGGCATACATGGCGGGGACCCTGGGAACGGCGGCTTCGTTCCACAGCGCTGTCATCAGCCGTTTGCGCGATGCCAACCAGGTCAATTCAGTGACCTCCTGTTGTATCCCGACCCGCTTGAGTGCAATGTCCATGCTCTACTTCGACGAAGACCAGAACATTGTGAAGAAGGACGTGCCCAACATGATTGTAGAAGAGTGCGGCTGTGTCTGACCCTTCTCTCCTGCCAGTCGCGACAACCATAAACCCCTTTGTCCAGTGGGCTGTCCATAAACAGAGTTGGAGGAAGGTGGGCGGAGTCGTAGAGGCAGTTGTGCATCCCCTCTGTTTTGCGTTGTGTTTCCATATTTGCCCGTCTACGTGGGAAACACCTCGTGTTCATGGTATTGCGATGGTGCTGAGCACCATATGGAAGTGGCATATGCTGGGCCTGTTTCATAATATCTGGATACGCCACTGACTATAACTCATGTCCACTCCATAGCCAGCCCCTCTCCCTGCAAACTAGCCCTGCTCACCACAGACGTCCTATGTTACTCCAACAAGGCGCTGCACGTTGACACTTGCAAGGTCCCAATGCATTCGACTTTTACTTATTTATATTCAGCACTGTTGCCTGTAAATGCTCTTCAACTGGACAGCGCTGTCCGCTTCCCTATGTGCAGATGCACTTATTTTTGCCGCACGACTGTACTGTGCCGTACGTGTAAGCGTGTCTTTCCATTCCGGAGCAATGCTGCCAAAAGATGCGGGTTGTCATGGAGGTTGCATGCGTCGATGGGATGGATGGAAAGTGATGGGTGTGACTTGGGTGGCTTTTATGGAATTAATAATTCGGTGGGCGATGGAGGAGTGGAAATGGTGACTAACGAAAATCAAAATGTGTTGGAAAAGGACAGACAAAATGTGACGGATGAGGTGAATGGGTTCATGAATTGGGGCTTTGAAATCTGGCTCGGACTGAAAAGACCACCCCACCATTACGGCCGAACGCGTCACTCGTGCACTTAAAAAGAAATCCGAAAAAAGATTTGAACTATCGGTGAGATATTAGTGCTGTGGAGACCTGCCGTCTAAACCATGTTATAAGAGATTATTGCTGTATGTATGTAATTATTTTATATACAACATGGAAAATACTTGAAATGGTCTTTTGCTTGAATGCAAGTGAAAAGATTGTACCTTATTGTAACGTTAAACGTTTGTGATTTGCACTCATGGCTTTGACGATGACGGTCACTATATATAAGCTGCCAAATGTTTTAGTTTTTTTTGTCTTTAATAATGTTTTTAAAAGTGGTATTTGAGATTATTGCACATTCTATTAAGTTATGAGTGAAAGGACACCAAAGGAACGGATTGAAGCCTCGTGTCTTGAGGACCGTGCGGGTGAATTCGGAGGAAATGTGCCACGTCGGCGAGATTCCTCTCTCCAGCGAGGCGGTGAGCCTAGAACCACTTAGTTTGCTTTGTTTCGAAGCCCTTTAATACTAAACAGCACCATATGCCTCCATGGATAACAACAACACATTACATACAGTATTTTGTTCTTTAATTTATACATGCATAGTCCTGTACGGATCGCCAGTATCATTAACTTGTAGTTGTAAGAATAGTAATCATAATGCAGTAATAATGATGCTATTAATAAACCAGATCAGTGCTCCTGATGTACAAACACTATGCGATGGGATATCTTTTCATTCTTGTCTCTGCATCTGTCTGGCTGTGAGAAACGATTGGGGAAGTGGGGACATGCAGGCTCTTCAAGTATCACCGGTGTTGCCCGGGGCCAACTCTGCTCGTCTGTGATCGCTGATATCCCTTCTCAAGTGACCCCTCGGTCCAATCACAGTAGGGGGCAGCACTTCCCACGTGCTTCGAATATGAGAGTGAGGTTTGTCACGTCACAGTCAAACCCATGTTTTAAGTCGCACAGCTGGAATTTGGCCACATTAAAGTGCAGAACCAAATTTTACGTGATGGTTATTTGTGCAGTTATTGGTGACTGGACTGAGACCATGAACTCACTATACTTGACGACCTGGTTTCATCGATTGCAAGCAGCTACTCCGAATTCGAATCTAGGATCTCAGCTCACACAGTCTGACCTGTGAGCTACCAGTCCACCTCGTAACTTATGGATTCCTAACTGGAAGAATTCGTCTCATACAGCTTCAAGTAAAAATCAAGCAATTGGTCACTAATCTCCTGTGGATATGTATGATTCTTACCTGTGTCTATGAATGAAGAGATATATGATAACTGATTAGCTCCAGTCCAAAATCACCCAAAAATGTGCTGAATTGAGGAGAAACTATGGGCAATGAGCATCCCGCACTCCCACTCCCAACTTGGCATCCACAAGGGGGAAATAGCCAGGGAGGCCAAACACCTCCATGGTTCCATATCAGGGGATGTGCTCGCGTTCCAGGGCTGATGTCCCTCGTACAGGAGCAGCTGAATGTTGCGCTGGTCTCCAGGCGAGACTCCACAGGCACTGAGGATACTACCGCCGTGAGGTCGCGATTCACAGGGAGGTGCCCCATTAAAGGCGGAACATCCCGTTCTTGTGGCAGAATATGCCACAGGTACAATCCAAGACCATGCGCGAGGCGATGCAGCTGGATTTTGCGGTCGTGAGATAACATCTCCTTCCAAAAAAACTAGCATGGGCAGAGGTGGCTCATCACCATGCTACCACCCGTGGCAATAGCAACCCAGGATCGGTGACCAGTATTGTGTGTTTGGTGGACAGTTAGATCCCGGAGTTCCCAAAACTTGAACCCCCAGCAAGGGAGGCCCCGTAAGTGCCCCCCCCTCCCCCCCGCTTGTAGCTTGGCCCCTGAGGCAGAGGGATGTATTGGGCCCTCATGACGGACCTGTCACATATGGTGGTCTCTGCCCCATGAGTGTTGCTGTTGTGGAGAAGCCTCTGTACGGCCTCAGTCCGTCCCCTGAGCTGTGTGATGGTGAAGAGGAGCCTTCAAAGCATATCGGTTGTGAACTCGTCATGTAGAATTCGTTTGGGAGATGGTGGCAGGCTTATCCGCGATTGAATAGTCATGCTCAGAGTCGTGCGCATCGTCCGGGAATTGGCATGACAAACGTGAGTTCCCCCTCTCTATGCAGGCCAGACGACGACAGAGATTGGTGCCAGAAAGATGTGCTCTACTTGAGCATATTGGCACAAGACAGACGAAAGTGGAAACAAATGACAAAATATGCACCTACGGGCTATCTGCCCATGGATCCTGATGATGATGATGCAGGCCAGTGATGAAGCGCCCTCAACTCTTGCCCCCCCCCCCCCCCAAAGCCTTGCAGTGAATACACCCTGATATTTATTAGTTAAGTCCCTTAGGGGCCGTCCATAAATGACGATTTTTGAACCCCCCCCCCCCCCATCGTCACACGGCGTCACAAAAAGTCAGACCCCCCCTCAAATGTGACGTCACAAAGCTCTGCCCTCCCCCCCAAATAAAACATGCTGCAAATCGATTTAAACTTTTGTCATTTTAGTGCGTATTTAATGTGCCACTGCACTCCGATGTTGTAGGAGAAAACATTTATTAAAAAGTCTGTTTAATTAAGTAAAACGTGTTGTCTATATTTATTTAACGTTTATCACCTCAGCCACCGTGCCCCCTCCCCCCTCAATGAAGCCTGCCAAAATTGGCCATCCAAAGCAAGCTGTAACATAGAGGACACAGCTGACTGTAGCAGTACAGTATTGTGTGTGAGGTCAATGTGGGTTCAAGAGCACTTTGCCAGTGTGATAGCGCTTGAGTAATCCGCACACGTGTGGTAGCACATGTACAAATTGCAAAAAAACCCTCCTTCATTTGGGGTCGCTGTGTGGTCGCCACACATGAGACTAATTTCAATTGTATCGAAAGAGACATGGAGCGAGACAGAGAGACACACATGCACACAGAGTGCTAAATATGTGTAAATAGCGGGCAAAGAAAAACGCACGTGTAGAGTCAACCACATTTCGTCCAAGTTCACTAACATTGCTCAGCCAATGCTGTTGACATATTGTGATTGTGTCCTTCCATCTGCCAGATCTTGCAACTGTTCCACATTCAATAGCCAAACATCAAGATTTTCTCTTCCAGCTTCGTACATATCACTTTAGGTCTTCCCTCTGCTCACTTTCCCCTGAGTTTTATTTCAGTACTTGTCTTAGCAACTTGCCCTCCTTCATTGTACATACACATACATGTAGCACCCATCACAGCCTCCTCTTTATAATTGTTAATAGCTATGACCAATCCACTGCTGGATGAATGCCTCTCTAAGCCAGCCCATCTCTCATAATTCTGCAATGTAACATCCGTCTGGTGCCTGGACATGAGCTGATTTCATTGTCAAATTTCCAAAGTCGACGTCCACGCTGGCTGTTCTCTCCTTTGGCTACCATTCCATTATAAAACTCAACTTTCGGCCTTAATCCCTTCCAGCGACGTGTCCTGCTAAAGGCCACATTTATTAACAGTATATATGATTTCTTAACTTTTTGGTATCTCAGTGTAAGTATATGCATTCAACTCACCATGATTATTTGGACACTTTTAAGATTTGTTTTGCAACCGTATGCCGTAGCAGATTATATACTGTATAACAATTCACGTTTTTTGTTCAGCACAACGATATATTGCTCTCCATTATTTAGTTAAGTTTTAACAAAAGAACGTTAACCTGTTCTCCTCTACCTCTTTATCTCATCATTTGATCATAGTTACACATATTATGGTGTGTTTTCAGTTGTGTCCCTCTGATCCATTAGCCTATTGTCGCAATAGTAAAACATTATTTGTGAAGATCATTGGGGAAGGCCAACCGACCCTCCGTGTGGGTGTGCCACTAACACCTACACTCCACGAATCTCTCAACTGATAAGTTCTCACAATCTCGCTCGATTCAAGAAACGGATTAATGTAAATCGTGTCTATTACACCTTTGACAGCATGCATATTTTTCTTCTTGGTTCTTTCGGTAAAGTCACGTAGAAGGGAAATAATAAAATAATAAAAATTAAACATAATAAAAGAAGGGAAATAATAAAATAATAATAATTCAACGTAATAAAATAATTGTATTATGTTTTATTTTTTTATTTCCCTTCTACGTGACTTTACCGAAAGAACCAAGAAGATGAATCCCTGCAGTCACGAAAGCTTTAAATCGAAGCATGCATATTGTCTGGCCGTTTGGCATGTTCGGCCTATGCACAGCAACCGTAATTAATTAGTTTTATATTAATGTAAATAAAACGATTGCATATCATTTTCAAAATGGAATCAGGTGGCATTGAAGGCTCACATCCTCTCCTAGGTTATAAGCACAACATTGTATCCACAGTCAATGGCAATATAAAAATGAAAAGTAAGGGCATTTATATTCATTTGTTCTTTCGGTAAAGTCACGTAAATAGAAAAATATTATAATAAAAACGATAAAGTGAATAAAAATATATAAATATTTGTAGTCACGTATATAGAAAAAATATAAATAAAGTGAATACAAATAAAAAATATTTTTGTATTCAATTTTTTTTCCTATCTACGTGACTTTACCGAAAGAACCAAAGAATATGAATTCCTGCTGTCACAAAAGTTTTCAGTCAAACTTTAAGGACAATGAATAACGAACTGCACCAGCGTAGTAAGTTTTTTTTTTAATTGCCTGAAACCACAGCCTCTGCATGAGTACAGATGGGCAGCTGTTTATTATTTTTGAAGTTGTTCTTTCTAAGTGACTTTACCGAAAGAACCAAAGAATAAGAGCACAGCTTATTATTACGAAACCTTTTCGAATACGCTTTGGCAATACTGTACTAGAAACCTAATACAGGGGGTGGGGAAGGTGGGAAGGTCAGGGGCCATGTCAACGGCCGCTCGAGAAGACGAGTGAATGTAAGTATTACAATCTCGTGTTTTCTTCCCAGCCACTGGCACTCCCCCGATAGGTATAACTCAATGCACACTTGACAGAGCCTCCGTGGTTGGAGGAGGGCCAGCATTATCTTTCTATGTGAGCGTGGTCGCGCAGCGGTGCAGTGGATTTCGCACTGCACTATGACAAAAGCGATCTGAGTTTGATTCCCCATCGCAGCAAACATGAATGGTAAGTGACCTCTGAACCGATCCAAGGTCCCCCTTTTAAACCAATCCTAGATCACCCCTTCATCAACCCGCGCTGACCAACGTAATGAAGTATGGCCAAAAGCCCACATGCCTGGCATGAGAATGCCTTAACCCAGCGGGATATTGACAAAGAGCTGCACATT